TTACAGCTAATTCACTCACAGGAATGGAAGAGACACGACTAATAATGGTTAGACCGCGTCGTAAGCCTTTGAAGTCCTGTTTGAGTAAACCCGAAAAAATAACCGGGGAACAATAGAGTAAGATGGGGAAAACACATCGATAGACAAAAGTAGAAATAACTGTCTGGGATGCGCGAAACTGCCTGAGCTTTCGTATTTGAAATTCGTTTACCAATGCAGTTGTGGATGTGGGTTGACCAATGAAGATTGCTATCTATGATTAACAGAGTTCACCCTGGATAAAGGATTGTTAATAATCACTGTGGGGTCTGTCGGATATGGAGAGCGAGCAAAACTCAAGACATTTACTGGGGTTCAGGGTTAGCCCCGATGAGGAGGAGAATGACTGAATTTGATCAAGATTATCGGTGAAAGAACTTAGCTCACAGTAAGAAGAAATCAGTTGGCACAACACGACATCATCTGCATATTTCAAAATTCGTGCGGGAGAAACACAGGGAATATCAAAAATATAAGTGGCAAATAAGTATGGGGATAGAATGCTCTGCCCGATCTAAGAAACGGTGAAGTTGAACTCCTCTCGGGAAACAGAGTTTTGACTTAGAATACGCAAATAGCATCACCTCCTGAGTGACACAATATAATCAGTCAGCGTTTTCTAACCGCTGAATGATGGAGGTCTCCGTGTACGGTATGTTCATTGTACGGTCAAATTACACTGCTTGTACAAGACTGACAAGAGCCTGTGCCTGCACTCATTCTTTGTGGTGATCAGTTAAAGGTAGTCGAGAACTTTCAATACCTCAGAAGCATAATCACAGCTGTAGGTGGTGTTGGGGAAGAGATTATTTCGTGAATAACGAAAGCTAGAGTGGGCTTTGATACCCTGCGACACCTATGGCACTGCCATGATGTTCGACTCTCCCTCAAGAAAAAATGCGCACCACCGCGGTTCGCCGTGTTTGGCTGTCCATCTTGCGCAGACTCAGAGTACTTTTTCTTCCGATCCAGCTAAGGTACACGAAACTGGAAGACGGAATGGATTGCGCTGCGCAGAACTTGGTGGCGGCCACTGAATGTATATAACCATAACTCAGAAAATGCATGAACGCGGCCCATTCTATTCCAAGAGTCACCAGCTGTGAAGAAACTGGGTAACCAGACCTGCCAAGTCCATATCAATTTTGCGCGGAACAAAACTGAGGAGTAATGATTTTAATTTAACGAGTCACCATAAGCATAGCGATGCATGCACAACATGAGCGAGATCGAAAAATGAAACCATTTGGTGCACAAATCAAAACTGACCGGAGGCAAACGTGTTGTAACCCTGGTGAAACGCGAGCGCCGTGACCGGATGGATAATTTCCTTGTCATTCTCTTTCACTCGATGGCATTTGAAAGCGTACTTCTTCTTCTGAACTTCCGGACTCGGGTCAAACATTTCGACAGCTATTCGACCTGAAAACATGAAAGTTACAGAAGGTGAGCAGAACAAGGAGCTGGTTAGGAGTGAAGGACGATCTAGCCATCTATTTATGTCTTGCCATTTGAAATAGGTTTGTTCCGTGATAAACTTGAAAAGAGAAGCCGCTCCGGGAAAGTTGCATGATTCATGTTCTGAGCGATTTCAATGCATGTGGAAACCTACTGCGGACAGATACAATGATTATAGGGGTTAGATGAATGGATAGTTTATAGTTTATATTTCACATTATATGGGTCCGAACTGGGACCGACAAATCGTGACACAATAATATTCATAACAAACTATTCCGTGATTCGCTAAGTGAGAGAAAAACTACGAGGCCACCCAAATTAAGATCGAAGATTCACAACCAGAGCGTTCAGCAACTCAAAGGCAGAAAAAACATGAGGCGACACAGCAGCGAACTTGAGTCCACGTTTTAAATAAGACGGGCGATATATCGTCAGGACCGGGTGGTTTCAATATTCCTAGTGCTACGGCTTGGTAGGCAAGGGTCCGTGGGACAAGAAATCGGAGTGGAATAATTAGGTAGGTTGGCGTTAGAGATGAAAAAAGGAACAAAAGGTCAATTTTTTCGAGTTGCTCACATACAATATCACCATAAAGAATAAAGATAGCAGGGAAATTGGATAAACGAAAATTATGAGAAACTGCTTTAGCAAGGAGCGAAATTGTTGAACTACCGGGGGTAAAAGAGACCACGAATTGGGTTCTGCGGTGGATGAGGCACTGTTTGCTTGGTTCAATAGCACTTGCCCCTATCTTGCATGAAACGGTGGTAGAGAGAGGGAGTGGACGATGAGTGTATAAAATGGTCACATACATGGTCAAATCAGCAGGATATCCCGGTTTGCTGGGTTTAGAAAAGTGTGAACCAAAAACGTCGGCGAAGTTGAAAACGTCCGAAGTGAAGCAGAAATCACTGTAAAGATCATATTTTTTGGCTGGATTGTGCCTTGAAGTGAGTGAATGGTCGGTATGGATAAACATGATGAAGCGGGAAACAATTCAGCGGTTAGATGAGTCAAGCTGGTGATTCACCCAGGGGATTTGCTAAAAACCCTGATTCAAAACCAACCGAGAAAACGCGTACGAACCATACACACACACACACACACACACACCTTCCTGGTTGTGGCAGAGGTCACCGGCTCGATTCGGTATCCAGGTATATTCGGCAATTTGGACGTTTAACTCCATCCGAAGGGCGTATGATCCAATGAACTGGACACCGGCCTCCAATGGATTGCGGTTTTCGTACACCGCCCCGCTGCGTTGCGGGTCAGGCTTTGGCTAGCCGGAGGCTCCGGTTACGAGGACCCCAAGAAAATTCACCTGCCTTGGCCTGGGCAACCCGGCAGTATTCCGCCCACATGCTAATCATGAATCTTTTTCTCCTATGAGAATTGTTGTACCGTGATTCGTTTGACACATAGTCTGCCCTCAGACGTGATACATACATACATACATACATACATACATACATATATATATATATATACATATATATATATACATATATATATATACATATATATATATATATAACGACGGAATCTGTGAACTAGCTAATCGGTCAGTGAGAAAGAACCCTTGTAATCACGGGATATAGACGTAGTCATTGACTATCTCAATAGTGTTTATTAAACAAGTCTACTTCATACATTTCTGCAGTGTTCATCAAAATTCCCAGTGAACAATATTTTTAAAGTTCAGTTAACTATGGTGGATAACAGAAGAAAATTGGTGAGTAATGTAAATATTTTCAACATCCTTTGCTAAACTAGCACACCAAACATATTACGAGGGGATAAACAATGCCTCGTAACTATCTTTTTCATGACCATTGTTACTCTTTCCGGATATAAAAGCATATTTCATTCGGTCGGTTTGGAAAATATCTATCTCGCTTATCTAATGTACATATTCTAACATTGCGAACAGAATATAAATTCCGAACTATTCGACTAAGACATCGTAAGGAACAACTTACATGTAAATACACAGTCATCATCATCATCGTACAGCGAAATACAGTGAAGCGAACTTCACTGATCGCTGCTAAACTCGCAATGCATACAAGGCAAGTGGACAGGGGTAGGACATACTTTGACGGAGGGGGAAGAAGTTAAAAGTCTGTGGTCAAAACACAGAGTACACAACCTAACTGTGCATACATACAGTTTCAAGCACTCCGGCCTGATAAGAAATGACAACAAGAACGCCACCGCTGTCGATTCGCTGCCATATCCTTAAATGTCCCCAACCAACCACTTGCGGTCTTTCGAACCCCTATCTGGAAGGCGAGAGACACCTACTCCACCTAATGGTTCCGCGCATTTCTTCATGCCTCGTCTCCACATCATCTGTTGACCTCCACATGGTTTACTCCAACCCGGAGCGGCTACAGCGAATAAGGGGCGATGTGGTAGACGATGGCTGGGCATACACAATACGTACCTTAGCCAGCGAAGTCTACTAACCTGAATTCGATGTGCCAGCAGGCTTATACCTGACAAACTCCCTAACACACGACGGCTTACCTCCAGATTACTAAACCGTTCGCTGCATTCCACATAGGCTAGACTACGTAAACACCAATAGTCGGAAACCTCTAGTCGATGGATATCTTCTACTCGCAAATTCAAGGTCTCACAACCATAAAGGAGAGCTGAAAGAACGCTAGTACAATATGCAGGAGCTTTCAACCTCAGTAAAACGTCGCGTCTACACCAAAGGTGTTTCGGTCCTGCGCACGCCGAGCGAACCTTGGAATCGCTAGCAGTTATTCCTTTTGCAGCGCTACCGTCGTTGGTCACGCAACCACTTAAGTAGGAAAAGTAATCCACCTTTCTATTACACAGTGTGAATTACAATAAAAGTGGGAACCCATTGAGAAATAGCATTCTGCAAAAGGGAGAGTAGGGGAGCATTCACGTATTATCCAGTTTATTGATTTTGCGTCTAAAAGTGTAGGTTGGGGAAAACAGCAAATGGGAGGGATTGCCACAGTTTGGCAGTTTTGGGGGAAAAGATAATTGGAGCAGAGGTACGACATCTGAGAACAGGAACCTGATAAGGATGACTAGATGCCTGTGTACGGGATGGGCGGGTAAAATTTGCAGGAAGAGGAACTGACAAGGCAAGTTCAGAAAAAGAAAAAACAAAGTAGTAGTGGTAGAATAGGGACAACGAAGCAACTGCTCGACGATGGGCTAGCGACCGTAGACTGGATGTTAGGGAAGGGATCATCGATTAGTCGGATGACCTTTCGTTGAACGCGAATAATAAGAAAAAGGGAAGAGGACGGATCCCCACGCCACACGTGACTACAGTATTCAAGAGCAGGGCGGATTTGAGCTTTGTACAATAGATGAGGTGGGGTGATAAAACGTCTGGCACGAAATAGAAATTCAACCTTGCACACAGCACGAGAGCAAGCTTGACCTTAAAAGGGGACCAGCATAAATAAGTTACAGTCAATCCAAAAAGGGAGTCTGTGGAACGCAGTTGTGTGGAATTAAAAGATGAATTGGGGGAGAACGAATTGTTTCAAAGAAATTGAAAGGAAAGAGGGTTTAGAACTATTGAATGAAACATGGATTCCAATGCCCCAGGAAGAGATGTGTTTGAGGTCGGAGTCCAGTGACACATGGGTAGTTTCGCCAATAGACCGTGCCAAACTCGGTCGAAGGCCTTTGAGATGTCTAGCGAGACCAAGTGTGTTTCTCCGTGGTTATCGAGTGGAGTTGACCAGGACTGAGGCACGAACCAGCAGGTTACCGGTGGAACAACGCGGTCGAAAGCCATACTGGCAGTCGCTCAGCAGTCCTTCACGTAGTTGGTCAGAGATCATAGTTTCCATCTATATCTGGCTACTTAGCTTCAAAGCGGGAGTATGCGATTCTCAGTCTTGCAGTATCACCTTGTACTTTAAAGGTGCAAAGCACATAGCGAAAGTGGCAAGAGCACTCGTTAGTCTATCAAGTACGATTTGCGCGTTCTTCAAACATTTGAACAGACAGATGATGTCATCGGCGTACCCCAGATTGCACAGCTTTTCTCCAGTTGCACAATCAATATCTACGTTTTGCAGACCACTTAGTGTGTTCTCCAGTATTTCGTCTATGACGAAATTGAACAGGAACGGAAATATGGCACTCTTAACGAACGCCGCTGCTGGTGACGAACAGCCTACTTAGATCGTTTAAACCCTCACCCGATCAGAAGTATATGAGTACAGTGACCTCAGCTGGTTAACATACTACTGGGGCATTCCTTTTCGAAGAAGGGATCCCATCAAAGATTCGTAGTCAACCGAGTCGAAAGGTCAAGGAACACTGCGATCGTTGGTCGGCGGTGGGTGTGACGCAGTTCAAGGACCTGAAACAACGTAAAAATTGGATAAATACATCCACGAACAGACCGGAGTCCGGCTTGCTGTTGGTCTCCATTGAAAGTGTCAGACGTTGAAGTAGGACTGAAACCAGCACTTTAGCGACGATCGAACTTATACCGCGGTGGTTTCCGCAATCGTTGCGAGATCCCCTCTTGAAAACGAAAACGATCGGTGATCCACCCCAAGATGAAGGAACGCGGTCTTGCGCCCAAATATTGTGCAGTACAGAGCTTTAGTTGCAGCTGAAGTTACTTGGATAGTGCTAGGCCAGCTGAACTGTTCACTGAAGTGTTCCACTCAGTGATCAAGCCGCTGATCCCTGTTGTGAATATTTTTCCACTTTTATCACAGACTGTTTCACTAACTGGAGTTCTCCGACCTCCGATATCAGTTGGGACAGTTTTGGATTATTCCCTGACACAGCTGTTATTTCCGTTTCACTAACTACTGTTGATCACAAGTTCTCACGGTCCTTCTTGAAACTCTTCGTGAGCTGGCGTTGCAGATGCCACCTAACTCTGTTTTGACCCTCACAGGTCGGAATTTGTCGTTTTGTCTCCATCAGGATTACTAACTCATGAGA